CTATTAGTTCCCAAGAGACCTGGTTGTTTTTTAAAAAAAAAAAAAAAAAAGCCAGGGACCTCCCACTTTTGCTTCCTCTCTTTCATCGGGTGATCTCTGCACACGCTGGCTCCCCTTCCCCTTCTTCCATGAGAGGAAGCAGCCTAAAGTCCTCACCAGAGGCAGATGCTGGTGCCATGCTTCTTGTATAGCCTACAGAACGATGAGCCAAATAAACCTCTCTTCTTTATAAATTACCTAGCCTCAGGTATTCCTTCATAGCAACACTGAATGGAACAAAAGACTGTTTACAAAAGAAAAAAGTCCAGGGATAAACTTGGGCCATAGCTCACATTAGGCACAAAAAAAATGCCATGTAGTAAGTCTTCTTTGTATTTACCACAACATCCATTTTCACATTGTTGTATTTTTTCATGCTTTTTTGATTGTCATAGATCAGAAGGACAATTCTATTCTTTGTTGGATAAGCAGTCTATGCTTCCAAAAGTGAAGAGCTCATTGAAATAGAAACTACAACAGTTGAGGACGAGGTCACAAATGTGAATGACACAAAGTGAAAAATGGCTCTGAAGCTTAACAAGCCAAGAAATATGAGATGCAGGTGATGCAGAACAGTCAGAGGGATACAGTAAGGATAATAAAAGCTTTGTACTCAAAATAGTAGAAAGATCATACTTAAGAAATTATATTTTTCTTTTATTATTTATACCATGTTTTTACTGTAAGAAATTATATTTTTAAAGAAATAAAGTGTTTCTACTTTTAAAGAACAATTAGTACATGATTTATTTGCCAATAAATTTCTTATGAGTCATAATAGCAGATCTAGGAGATCACAATTTGTGGATACCCATTAGAATTAGAGCAGTAGAGTTCCCTATCAGACATTCTTTTGCAACTAAATACAAATCTTTTATAATCAAAAAAAATCAATCTCTATATGGAAACAGATATAAAGTGGGGCTTTTTAAGCATTTAAAAAAATTTCAGTCAACTAAATATCTCATATTTATTCCCTTTCTAAATTTCGTTTCTTTCCTTTTATGAAAAAATATAAAGGAAACCAGGTAAAGGGGAGTTCAGCATTATAAAATTCACTACTACATCTAGGATAAAAAGCATCCCAAAAGTTTTTAAAAAAGAAGGAAAATAAATTAAGAGACAATTATTAATATTTTGCAATATTATACATGTACTCAATTCTAGCTCTTGTATCTACATACAAAATTAAATTTTTATGAGCTATTGTTCCAATTTGAATATGCCCTGCACTGAAGAGTAAACAAAATTTTTTATGGTAGACCCAAAGAAAAAGATCCTAACTCACTAAATCTCAAATCAAAAACCAAAGTACCACCCTTAATTCCTTCTTTTCCAATTTCTTCCTATCAAATTATACCAGTTTTATCTCCAAAATATCTCCGAGTCATCTATTCACCCCAGTGTCACTGGGCAGTCTAATCTATCTTCATCTTTAGATTAAACTTCTATAACAGCCCCATTTCCACTCTTGTCTTCCACTCTTGTCATCCTCCTCTTACCTAATCTCCACATGTTGGCATGCATGATCCTCCTAAATCTCATGTTGTCATTCTTCCACTAAACCTTTACAAGCTTCCCATTACACCCAAAATGAAATTCAAACTCCTAACCCAGACCCTCCAGGATCTAGAACCTGCCTGATTCTGCAAGCTCACTTCATATCTATCACTCTACCTCTCAATCACACATTCCAGATACACCTAATCTTTTTGGCCCCTCAAGTAAGTCATATTCTCTTCTAGTGAACAGCCTTTGCCATTTTCTGTTCTCTCTTTATGGAAAAATCTTCCCTCAAATCCTGGACTTTGGTTTTTGTTTTTAGAATTTGAAGAACACGTTAGTGTAAAAAATCCAAACAATACCAGAAAGCATATGGAAAAAAATTACTTGAAATTCCACCACCTAGAGAGAATTACCATTAAAATTTTGAGTATAATACTTTCATATTATCTATGCTTATACGTGCCATTATACATTATATGTACAAATAATCTTCCATAAATTCCAGCTCTTTCCACATTGGTTCTTCCTCATACTCTAGTTCTCAACCCAAATACCAATTCCTCAAAAGAGGCCTTCCAGGACCATCCTCAAAGTAGCCTATTCCTATTATAATGCCCTGTTTATTGTCTTCATTGCACTTCTCTCTCTCTAAATTAACTATTTACTTGTCTCTCTGTTTTCTCTTTCCAAACCCAGTAGAATGTGAACTCCCACAGGGCACTATTTTTTCTATCCCTGGGGTCTAGCCTAATACCTGACATATTGCAGGTGCCCAATATCTAATGAATGATGAGATGATAGTTTTGATTAACATTTATAAGCTATCAAACCCTATATTTATATCTCCCATTCAAATTTCTCTCCTGAGCTTCATACTCATACTTAACTGTCCCCTAGCAGCTCCATCTGGAAAGCACACAGGTATTTTAATTTCAGTGGGTCACCAATCTGCTCCTCTTCATTTCACTCTGAATTTAGATGAATGACACTACCATCAACCAAACTTCCCAACTTGAGTTTTATCCTTGATGTGATTCTACCCCCTCACACCATATCCAATTAGTCACCAAAAGTCTCTCCATAATTCTTCAACTCTACCTCCTAAATCTCTTCAATCCATCTATTTCATTCCATCTGCGTCTCAACACCACCACTCCAGTGCAAATCACCATCCATCATTTCCCTCTTAGACAACTATAATTTTTTTTTAAGTGTACCAAATGATTTTATTATAAAACTTAAACCATTTATTGACCATTCTAAAAAACACTACCATAAGAATAAAGTAAACACAGCCCAGATCACTAGCCCTTGCAGAACAGGAAGAAGCCCTGGACAGAGAGCCTGCAACTGTTTTTCCTCACACCCAGAGTCTGAGCTTCCTCACATATTCTAGGGTTCCAAGTTTTGTCACCTCTTATAAGGGAAAGGAAACTGGCTAGAAGATTTGTATACAAGAAGGTCACAACTTTAAAGCTATCTGATGGTAGTGGCTTGTACATTATAGTTTGCAACACTGAGAACAAAATCAAATAAGCATTGTCAAATACCTACTCCAAGCTACCCTACTGTCATTGTTCTTTGAAATTATCTTTGGGACTGATTATGTTCTTTCACCATAGCTTGTTTATCCCAGAGCACAAACCCTAAAGTCCATGCACAGTCTCCATGCTCAAATGTAAAAGTCTGTTTCAGGACAACCTCAGAGGTTGCTGTAGTGTTTCTCTCTGTAGTGTCTACTGGTATCACACCCTTGGAGAGGCTGGTCAAATGGCAGCACAGTGAGAGGGCAACACAGTCAACTTCCCCAATGCCAAACTTGCTCAGTCAATCTGGACACTGCCCACAGTCAAAGCCGAAATCTTGACATCATTGATGACCTTGGACCTATCTTCATTCTGCAGCTGTACTCTTACGTGTATGAATCCACTTCATCACCATTGATTAAATGGCACTTTCAAAACCTTATCACTGCTCCCCACTGTAGACCCCAGTGGCTACAATGGCTTCCCACTATTCTTAGAATAAAGCCTAAAGTCCTTATCATGGACTACAAGGCTCACATGAAATATCCATTGCCTAACTACCCAGCCTTTTCTCTATAATCCAGTCTTTTTCTTCTTTCAATTCTTTAAATCTACTTTGCTCTAGCCCACTTCAGGGTCTTCAAGTATGCTGTTTTTTCCGCCTAAACACTCTATCCACCACGTCACACCATCCTAGACACACATACTCATCCTTCAGGTCTCAAACTCAAACATCACTTCCTTGGTTAATCTGTAGTACGCAGAAATCTAAAGAAATCCTTACACTTATTCCAAAGATTTCCATCCTCTGGTTACACAATGAAATATTAACGTAGATACTGCTATGAAGGGACTATGCAGACGTAACTAAGGTTATTACTCAGTTGATTTTTAAGATAATGATATTATCCTGGATTATCATTGTGGGTCTAATATAATCACCTAAGCTCTCAAAGGCAGAGCTTTCTCCCAGCTAAGGGTAGAACAGGAAGCCAGAGAGATGTAGCAAAATTCAGTCAATAACGTGATTGATCCTAAAAGCAGATTCTCCCTCCAGAGACTCCAAATAAGACTCCAAACCAGCTGATACCTTGAATTAGGACTGTGAGACGCTAAGCACAGAACCCAGTCATGCCACCTGAACTTCTGACATACAGAACTTTGATATAATAAATGGGTGCTGTTTTAAGGTACTAAATTTGTGGCAGCAATAGAAATACAGAGGCTCTTCCTTGACCCCCACCCAGGCTAGGTTAGTGCCCCTATTAAATGCTCCCATAATATTTTGCACTTCTCATTCACAACATTCATCATACTTATTATTTAATGTATGCAGTCTAAGATCTGTAGAGATTTTGTATTTTTATATACCATATACCATAAATGTTTGTTGATTGAATGAACAAACTTTTTATTCAACTCTCAAAATGTTTAATTATGGTATATTTCCTGTACAGTGCTATATTATAAAATATTTCTATAATAAGGGTCAATTGCTTTATAGCAGTGATTAAAAAGAGGGGAAGAGAGTTGGGATTAATGGAATATATTCAGAAGCATTTGAGCAGTAATTCTTTTCATTTTACAAACACTCCACCACTTGCCATTACTCCTCACTCCATGCCCAATGTCCCCAGGGATGCATGGATATCTATTAGAAAATCACAAAACCTTGCCATACAGAGCCATTATTATTAATATCACCAGGTGAGATTCCTCAGGTATGTTGAATTATAAATAAAAGCTTAAAACAACTATTCTACTATTTAAAAAAATTTTTTTCAAACTGTAAAAAAATCCAAATTTGTTTAATCTGAGACGTTACCATTTAATAATAAAAACAGACTGAATACATTATATAGATTAAATATATATTCAAACTATCTTGTCAGAAAAGGGAAAAATGAATAGAAAGAAAAATTTACTTACATCAATGGAAAAGCAAAAAACGGGAGTGTCATGGCAAGTCTTGCTGTAAATTCATCAGGAAGATACCACAAGTATACAATTAAGCATGTAAACAGATAGAGAACTGAAGAATACAGAATTAATCTTCCAACCCATAATTTTTGTAATCTCTGATTTTTTTCCCTAAATTCTTCCAAAGCTTGAATTTCCTGTTAAAAGAAAATTATTCCATATCATTAAAGCTCAAACTTCATAAAGAAATTAAGACATTAAAAAATGTTAACATGACCAAAAGCTTATATTTAAAGAAGAACCCTTAAAACTCAATAAAATATACTACCCTGTTTAAAACAAAGTATAACATGAAGATGAAAACTAAAAAATGGAGTTAAAAATGTATAATGCCTATTCCTGACAAATCACTTTTTACTTTAATACTATTTTTAACCTACCAAATTGGCAAAGATTAGAGGAATGAAATTGGCATCAGTAAAAAATTATTGAGTCCAACAAGTAATAATTCTCCCTATCTAGGCCTAAACAAAGAAAAATTTAGGAAAAAAAAATAGAATTAATAAAAATTAAAACAATAAAACCCATACTAGATTCTTTCACTCTATTCATTACTATCAATATTTCCAGGGAATAACCATTTTTGGTAATGACAGAAAATATAAAAAGCTGTGAAACTTTAGAGACTAATAAAAATCATTGCAGACTACCTTATAATCTATTTTATCATATCGGTAACATTGATTTACACCATGCTGTAGATCTAATTTCATTCTAACAGACTGTTACTTGATACAGACTTCTTAAATCACTGATAGACTTGATATTTTTAGATCATGTAACATACCAGATCTGGTCTCCAAAATAATATTTACTAAAATATTTACTTAATACCTAAAATAAATTAAAATACCTCACAGCCAAAGAACATACCTTATCTATACTTTCTAGAACTTCTACAGTTGAAGGTTTTGTCTGTTAAGGAAATAGAAATAAGAGACGGCATTAAAACTTATTACTGAAAACTTAGAAATATTTTGGTTCCTATAATCATAAAAAAACCACTTTAATTCAAAATTTAGTCTTTTCAAATGTTGTCAAGCAACATGTATTTCTATTTATATATAACTAAGATTTATTTAAATAAGAATTATAATTATAAACAGAACTACATAAGAGTAAAGAAATAAGCATTTTCCTACTTACTTTATTTTTAGTCCTAGAAGGGCTTTCAATATCTAGCTCAACTTTTACCTTTCTTAACCTCAATTGAACATAATTTTATGGAGAGAAAAAAATTTACTCCAAGAAAAATCTTCTTACATTATTCAAAAGAATTCACAGTCTAAAGATGGTCTGATCTGCTATTGTTAAAAGTTCCCTTAGGACTCTGGAGGTCAAAATCAACAGGGTGCCTTCATTCTGAATTCCTAAAGTACCTTTTTGAAGATCAGATTTTAAAATGGCATCTAGAATAGCTCATTATAGCAAAGCTTATTTACCAAAGTTAATTTTTACACATTTAAAATAAAAACCAGCCAAAATGGCTCATGTAACACTTGAGAAAATATTTACCAATTACATATACAACAATCCAAGAGGGTAATAAATATCAATTCATTATACTGCCCATAAAAGTTGTTGACATTGGGCTAAACCATATGAAATTACCATTTTTGTAAGTCAAAGTAGTTGAATATTGGCAATTTCATAAAGTTCAACCTAATAAGAAAGACAAAGAAGAGATAAATTTGAACCTCAGGCAGACTATCATAAGGTCATAAGAAGGGAGTCATGGCTGGGCGCAGTGGCTCACACCTGTAATCCTAGCACTCTGGGAGGCCAAAGTAGGCAGATTGTTTGAGCTCAGGAGTTCCAGACCAGACTGAGCAAGAGCGAGACCTCATCTCTACTAAAAAATAGAAAAAATTAGCTGGGCATGGTGGCACATGCCTGTAGTCCCAGCTACTCGGGAGGCTGAGGCAGAAGGATTGCTTGAGCCCAGGAGTTTGAGGTTGCTGTGAGCTAGGCTGACGGCATGGCACTCTAGCCAGGGCAACAGAGTGAGACTCTGTCTCAAAAAAAAAAAGAAGTGAGTCATGAAAACATCAATCGAAAACAAGGCTGATCCAGCCAGAGTCCAAAAACATACATTATGTACCAAGTATAGCTGGACTCCATTATTATCGTAATAAGAAGTCAACAAATAAGCAGTTTATCCTAGACTACCTTATCTCCTCTTAGATTAGAAAAGAGCATTTATCAATATAATTTATATTTTCTAGCTATAAATTTGAGTTAGTTCTCTAAAGACTTATCCAATAAAATCTTATTTCTTATTTTGTTTAACCTATAATTCCTGAAAGTATATGCAGTGTGATTTTAGCCAATATTTGTGACAAGCTTTAAGTAAAAAGATATAGTCTGTAAAAAACCTAAGTATGGTATAGAATACTTATTTTCAACTACCTTCCAAATAAGTTTGAAATTTAGGCAGTATAAGAAGAAAACAAAAACAGATAACCATTCGCACACAAATACATAAATACAGAAATAATAGTTCTGTGAAAGTAAAATAATTCTGTTAAACAAAGATATCAGACACCTATAGAACAAGTAGAACTTTTCCAAATAGAAAAGTAATTCAGAAGAGAAGAAAGAAAGAAATTAAATAGAGTTAAGGATAATATCAAACTACTATTCAAGGTTATACCACCAAAGGAGACTTTTACAAATAGCTTTATATGACACTTTTATGTTAGATTTAGGAACCAGCTATAAAGAAAAGTAACTTACCCTCCATCGAGAAAATAATCCACCCATCTTTTATTTGTAGAAACTGGGCGCAATGATAAATATCATCAATTGGTCCAAGGAATTCACAGCTAGAAATAAGGCAAGTATTTTAAAAATTTAAGTTAAACACAAAGTGTACCTACTATAAAATTCAAATACTGCAATACTAAAAATACTATGAAATATTAATTTCTTTGGACTCTACTTATATGAAATGCAAATTCAGACAGTCATTTAGATAGAGTCTACCTTTTTAAAATCCATTCTTCAAAGTCAGAACATATTTTAAAGTGAAAATAAAGCTGGAAAGACTTTTTTAAATGACAAAGCATTTTAGAAGTGTATATACATACCACTTTGTTTTTTTCTGTTCTTTAAAGTAGGTTCTCTATATTGTTCTTGCAACAAAAGTTTTATTATACTACTTTCATTCTACATAAATAAAACTGTTCCTGTCATTCAGTTGTCTCCCAACTAAACTATTTACTTAAAATTAGGAATGTCTTACAATGTTCAGAATAACATCACCTTACCAGTAATAACAAAAAGCCAACTGGATTTTAAAGGAAATAAGAATTACAAGGCTACCTGTGACCTTGAACAAATCATTCAATGATTCTGAGCCTTAATTTTCTGTACATTAGAGTTAATAGTATCACCACTTTCTCACAGGATAGTCTTTATTATTACCATCTTATACATAAGAAAACTAAGGGAAAAGAGGGTTTAGTGATTCCCAACAGTTCAGAAGAAATATGGCCGAAAGCCCCTTTATCTCCAAGACTTCTGGTCTTTATTACTAAACACTACTGTTCAACACTCAAACAATGCTCTCTGAAATTTTGTCTAAGTCCCTCAAAATAAATAAATAAGAAAACTAGTAGGACTTCATTTCAGCTAGCTGTATAGTCCCTTCCTTTATTTTTCTGTGACTCTCAAATGTTTTATAATAGAATCAGCAAAATTATATTCTAAATCAATTGTCAGTCAATACTTATATAAATTTTTATTTTTTTAAGTTGAAATGGCAAAAGTATACTTTCATACTAGCATTTTTCCCAGGTTATAGTTAGATACTTGCCAATGTGTGAAACTACTTCATTTCTAATCCCCCCCCCAAAAAAATTATCTAAGCCACACTCTTCACATTTTTTAATCATAAATGTAATTACAAAATACCAGTATCAAATAAGAACATTTACTCTGCAACATCATTTATATATTGCAATTAGCATAAGGCATACCTATGTTGGAGTTACTTAATTAAAAAGGTAACAAAGGGCCTAACTATAAAATACGTTCACTTACAAAGTAATTTCTAAGGACAGAAATAACTTTAATCTGTCCTGAAAAATTCTGAAGTTTATAAACAGAATGAATGTTACAAGTCACATTTAAGTTGCAATCTAAATATTATTAATCATTTAAAATCAGCTCAGTATTTGAATTTCTAAAATTTCTAAATGTGGTTGCAGGAAATCTAGGCATTTTAATGAATAAAAGTTTAAATTCCTATCTGAATCAGGACATTAAATCTAAAAACCTTCTTGAGATGCTAAAAATAATAATCAAGAAAGGTGGGTAGAGAGGAGAGATTCATATAAACCACCTGTTATTCTCAAAGTATACATCATTCCACTATTTTGGAACTAGTTAATGGTATGTAGCACAGTATTCTGTACACAACTGACCTACACGTTTTGGTTTGAAACAGAATTATATCCCTCCAAGTCAAGTTTGTAACCATCACACCCTGAGACTGTGATTAGAGTTTTTAATACTTGAAATTAATGGCAACAACAATATAAAGACTTGATAAGTTCTTCATTTCCAGCAGGCCCTAAAACAACTGCTTTACATGAATTTTATCATTCAGCTACTACTATCCCTCCCTTTTACAAATGAGAAACCTGAGCCTAGCGAATTGAAAAGATTTGCTATGGTCCCAAAGACATGAAGTAGCAGAGCCAGATCAAAACATTTTAGTTTTGATTTTTCTAAAAAAACACCCAGCTATTCCCAATAAAACAAAATAAGAAATAAAGTTGGCTTTATATAGATTAGACTGGAATATTTTTATATAAAATATATGAAATATATTTTCAAATATTTCCAAATATTTTCTCAAATAGTTGATATACAGAACTACTAAAATGGAAAGTAAGTAATAAACACAAGAGACAGTATTAATACAATGTATCATGTAGCCCAATTCCTTTACTTTATTAAATTTGAATGCTGGAATCTACACTAAAGAGAAGTTAAATGATTTGCCAAAATCATGTAGCTCCAGCTAGGGGCAGAACTAGTACTAGATGTCTGCAACCACAGCCCTTTTTTCTATATATCACTTTAAAATAAGTATAATGTGAAATATATGCATAGCATCACAATTAATACTAACTTTGACACTAATTATTGGAGTGTTGGAAGTGTTGCTTGGAGAATTGTTTTGGTATAAATGAAACAATCCACTGCTTAGCCTCTAAGATCCCTGAAGCAGGGATTGCTCTTTTCAATTTGGCCTCTAAAACAACATTAGAGTGACAGTTATTAAATGCCATATCCATGCTTTCAGGTTCATAATCAAAGAAACAGTCAGCCTTCATTGTTCCAGCATTTTTTCCCCATCAAATCCTGGTATTAAAGAAACTGATATACTACAATGCACATGTAATGGATGGTACTCTCCAGCAGACATGAAAACATAACAAAATTAAGTAATTACATCACAACTTTCTCTATAACTTTAATTTCTTTTTTTCCTTAGGATCAGACTGATCTAAATATAACTTTAATTTCATACTGCTTCTATATTCAACCACTGGGTCTCTCCTTTGCACCCAAACATCTTAATTCCAATTCCTGTGGCCCATCACTTACTATAGAATCTTAGACAGATAAGTTAACTTGCTTGTTACTCAATTTCCTCAACTGCAAAAGTGGGATATATAGTTAAGGAATCTGTTAAATGTTGAAAGGCTTAAATGACATAATATATTCTACACTATTTACAACAGTGCCTGACACATAGTAATTGCTCTATACAAATTAACTGTTTTTACTTCTGTGGTCTTTGCTAATACATCTCTGCTTCCTTTCAAATACATAGAAGCAAATAACCCTAGCATTCCCTTCTGAAGCATAAATCAAATTGCTTGCCCTTGATTGGACAGATGGTTCAACACCAAGTGGCTGGTCTCCAAGAACTCTTCCATGAACATGTACAGAGAGTCTTTTTCCACTGTGATATCACAATGGAACTTGTCATGACCTTAAAAGCTGGGTGCATCTAAATATGTTTTGCAATGAACAGTAATGTCCACCATATTATTTAAATATTTTCTACTAATTGCTATTCACACTCAGAATTTGGGTGTCAGAATTTAAAATCTTGGGAAATGTTTTTCTTAAATTTTCAGCTCGCTTCAAGTCACATTAAAATAATGAAGTAATACTGACCTGGATTCAAAATATGGTTCAACTGCATACTAGCTATGTTATCTTGGACAAATTACTTAAACTCTCTCAGTTATTGCATTTGTAAAATGTTAAAAAATATTTACACTTCACAGAATTGTTGTGTGAATTAAATGAAATTATATATCACTTGGTACAGTGCCCAACACATAGTAAGTGTTTAATAAGTTGTAGCCATTATTATTACTTTATCAGAAAACTTATGTATTTATATGGAACACATTTCTAACTTCCTATAAAGAAAACACCTATTTCATAATTTTAAAATTGGAAAATAAAATTAGTTTATATTTTTACTGAAATTGTATTGCTCTCATTTTCTCTAGTATTAAAAATAAAGCAAAATAAAAATATTCTGCACTACTCTATTTAAAAATTCTGGTAGGCCTTTGGAGAAAAAAACAAAGGTAGTTTTATGTTTATCAAATTCCAAACTTAAGTATAAACTATTTAATCAGCATCAACAATAACTCCATAAGGCACTGTACTATACAACTTAAGATTAAAGGCGATTTGTTCTAGAACTCTAACTTTCAAATGAAAGATAATTCTGAAATATCTCAAACCGCATTTATTGCCTCCCACAAAAAATATTAATAAAAAGAAGTACACTTCTAAAAGCACTTTTATTAGATAATGATTAAGTGTTTCCCTTCGTGGTAAGTGAATTTTCATTCTGAACTACCAAAAAATGACTATTTGATTAAAAAGATTTCTATTATGAAATCATACCTTTTTGACAGCCACATAAGTCTCCCTTTTCTTATAGTCTTTCAAGTTAATATATAAACACTATATAAGGTTATTAACAGCATTACTGAGCTGATCTCATTATCTGAAAGAGACCCTTAAAATTCTAATTTTAAATGCACCACTCTTGTTTAAGAAAATGCATTCAAAATCAACTTGGTTTGCCTAAGAACAAACTATGGGGGCTGCTGAGGACAAGGGATTAGCATTCCCTCCCAGTTAGGACATATTCCTGAAACAAAGTTTACTCACACCCACCAAACCGCTGTTGAATAAGGTCGATTTTGTCAATGGTGATATCTAGACTAGAGAAGGGAAAAAACAGTAGACACTAAGCACCACAAACCAGAGGCCAAGTGGGGAAAGCAGAACATGGAAAACTGAGTGACTCACAGGTCCTGCTTGGTACTGTGACAGTAACATCAGCAAAACAGTTCACCAATTCTCACTCTATCTACCCGCAAGTACAACACTAAAGAATTAAAACTACGCATTGATGTAGTTGAGACCTGCTTTTCTCCATGTGCCACGCCCACGACACTGCGCATCTTCGCCCTTCACACCGCCCACCATTCCTCAAATAAGGACAATGGGTGTAGAGCTGCTTCTCCAAGTAGCACATAATCCACGCCCACACGCCAGCGCCGAGCAGCATGACACTGACAGTTTTCAGTCCCTCCGATCTTTCCAGTTCCTGGAGCCTCCGCACAACCCAGAAAAAGAAGAGATGGGTAGAACACTCAAAGCGGATAGTTCAGCATAGGATCTGCTAGTTTGGGACCTTCTGACCCTTTTCCTCGACACAGGTGGGCCAAAGAGCTGGGGCTCAAGCCAGTCACCACCTGGAATCTCTGAGAGCAGAGCTGGGGAAACTACCAGCCCTTGGCGGGGCAGAACCGGGTCTCCAGCACTCCAGCACCGCCTCTGCCACTGTGATAGGAAACCAAGGGGACGTGGCGGCCGGACTGGGTCGGCGCGCTCCGTAACGGGAGTATGCCCGGCCGCCGCCGCGGAGCTCTTAGGCCACTTGGCACGCGGCGGGGGCACCCGGGAGAAGCAAGCGGGGGAACCGGGAGCTTATTTCCCCCGGGGGAAGCTCAGCGCGCCATCCCCCTGCAAAGCCCTCCCAACCGCCCTCATCTGGAGCGCTCTACCTGCGAGAAGCGGGCACAGCCCGGCCCTGGCGTCCGCCCCTGCCAGCCTCGGCGGCCACCGCGCAGCCTGCCTCCAGAGCAGGCAGCAGCCGCCACCGACGGAACGCTGGGCCGGGCCAGCTCCTTCCCATCAAACCCCGCGCTCCCGCCGCCCGCCAATTGGCGCCGCGGCTGGCGCGCGCCGCTCCCCCGTCACGTGACTGGGAGCGGGGCGGGCAGTTGGGGCGGGGCAGGCCGAGCGGTTGGCCTGGCGACGTCAGTGGGTGTGTGCCGGGCAACCCTCTCAGCCGAGCTCGTCTTCTCAGGGGTGTGGTGCCATGTGTCATGACTCTTACAATACAGCTATTTGTTACTCTTCGTTTGCCTCCTTTTCTTTTATTTCAGAATGTTACGAGGGGTACAAACGTTTAGGTTACATAAATTGCTTTTGATGCCTCCTTTTAATGTCTGTTCTGCCAAGTCTCGCTGGAGGAAGAAGACCCCGAAACTAGTCCTGGTGGTCTCAGACCGCGGGGAGAGAAAAGAGTGGGGGGAACAAAGGCTGGGGAGTTGAGGAGGGTGCAGATGGGCGCGCCTGGAAAGCAGTGCCTCCTGCAGAGTCCGGGAGAGCTGCCCGGCTGCAGGCTGCAGCGCTAGTTAAGACTGCACTGCTTAGAAGAGGCCAATTCCCAAACAACGGGAGGGGGAAATTCTGCCTGGACCCCTGGAGTGCTGGAGGCTTTTGTCACTCATGAACGTCAAAAAGAGTCCTTTGATGACTGGACGCTTACCTCACAAGCTTGAGACGCCAAACGATGTTGATTTCAAACCGGCGGGTAAGAACGTAAGCTCAGTTTTTGGTCTTAAAACTCTTAACCTCAAGAGCACTCTCCAGAGGCCCTGATACGTGGGCCCACGAAAAACCACCCAGGCTATATTTTAGATTTGAAACATTTACTAAACGACGTTAAGTTTCCTAGTCAACAGGAAAAGACAAATACTGAATAACAAACGATTCTTGAATGAGAAAAATGACTAGAGATGTGCACATGGTCACATGGATAAGGGTAGGGAAATTTCAGAGAAGGTTTTTATCATGTTTTACACTTGTGACATGTTTTATCCCATGTGCAAACATTTTTCATGGTTTTTTTTTCCTACTTCAGTTGCATACACACATTATAAAATAAAAAGTTCCTGATTTTTAAAGAGTATAATAGTTTTACAATATTGTGTTCAAACTTTGACAACACAAACAGGTAAAGTAAGAACAACTGAGCATAGTATCTAGTTGGTAAGAATAATTTTTTATATTAAAATCTATCAAATAATTCACTGTTGGAGTTCCTTGCCCTAAATGCTAAAAGTTTTAGTTACAGTTCTGTAAACTTGAAAGGATGAAGGCAAGGGAACTAAAGTTTAGTGTGTTACTGTGGATCAGGCACTTATAAATGTAGAAGAAAATGTACAGAAACATTTCACCTGTTTTGATATGAACATTTAACCATTTTATTTTTCAACCTTTGCTGTTTCAAAGTATTAAAGTCCTATGCAGCTATATGAGTACATCTCACCCCAGAAGATCTCCTTTCCTAAGAGAACCAGGAAGAATGATTTTTCCACTTGCTAATGATTTGTCCTTTAGTTTTAATTGAGCCATCAATGTCTATGGTAAAGAAAAGAAAAAACAGGAGGCAGGGAGACAGAACTACCTGGATGCAAGAGATTCCAAAAACCTAACTTGAGTTAAAATTCCCTAGGGTATTGCTCTAGGAAGGAGAGAGATTTGACCTGGCAAGGAAGGGAGAGACATATTTAATCATTAACTCTTTTTAAGGTTAGTGTCATTTTTCAAATGAGAAACGTGGAAAGATTATGTACATTGTTGAAAGTAACTCTAAACCACTACCTCCTTTATATTAAGAAGTAAGAGGTTGTCAAGCAAAGCTAGGGAAAGACATTATAAGCAGAGAAATCAACTTAAGCACTATGTGGCTGGACTACAGGGTGATTGCAAATATTTATAGACAAGGCCCTGTGTTAAGTGCTGAGAATACAGAGGTAAATAAAAACAACTGTCCTAAGGCAGCTGACAATAGTGGGAGAAACCTTAAAAAACAAAAAAGAAAAGAAAGAAAAATACAATACAGAGTAAGTGCTGTGATAGGCTAATGTTCAAGGTATTAGAAAATGATAAGACAACAGCAGTCAAAGGGGATGTGTGAAAGCCAATGAAGGTGCTGCTTTAGCAGAGTCCAAGTGTCAAGAGTTATCCCCTACTAATCCTAAAATTGTTCTAGGACACAGTCTAAGGAAGTGAAATCAGAAGAACACCAGAGAATACTTTGAGAGAGGAAACAAACTGCTCAAGCCAATGGAATTCTAAGTGGTCTGATTAAACAATTTGAATTTATCTAGGTGATATGACAACTTACAGTAGGGGCATTCATTAATCTGATCGGAGAGGTTAGGGAAGGCATCCTTGAGGAAGTCACACTCAAATAGAGATCTGAAGGTTGAGAAACTGAAGAAGGGAGAGAGGGAAACAGAGGGAATATCGTATGTAAAGGGCTTTTGTCAGTGGGGAACATTGCAGGGCCTGAAAGGAGGCCATTGTGGCTGGAGCACAGGTTACCGAATGCTACAGTATAAAACTGTAGACCAGACTAAGCAGGGTCTTATAGGCTGTATTAAGAACCTTAATATTTTTCTTAAGAGCAAAGGGAGAGAGAATATTTGACATGATCAGATTTTGAAAAGATCATTCCAGGTGCAGTGTGGGAATACAAGCAGAGCCAGCACTGGACCAATTTGATCTATAAGTGGTGGTTAGTGTTGGTAGGAGTTCAAGTAGACTAGGGTAGGAACAAGGAGATGGAGACAAGTGGGGGGAATGGAGCAATGTAGAAAGTAAAATGGGAGGTGGTGGTGATGGATTCAGTTATGGTGGGGTGGGATGGGGACTGAAGGAGAGGGAGAGGTCTGATGATTTAGGATTTCTGCTGGGCCCAGTAGGTGGCTAGTAATGCTATCACTAAGAAACAGGGGACACCGAAAGAGCCAGGTTTGAGGGAAAAGGGTGATTTCGATTTGCACATATTGAATTTAATGTTTTGTGGACTTCAAGGACAGGTGGAAACTGTTGGATCTATGAGTCTGCAGAACTGAGCTTGAGAAAAAAAAATGTTATAGTTTGTAATCTGTTCTTTTCTGCAGGGTACTTATTTTTTCAAAATGTAAAATATCAAAATTTAAATATCTTTATTTATTATAAGATGTTTTTAGATATACTGAGAAGAACAAAATTAAAAAGTAAAAGTCTCTAGAGCAGTTTCCCAGACTTCTCTGAGAATCACCAGGAGCCCTTATTAAAAATCCAAATTCTCAGACATCTCCCCTAGAGATTCTGATTTCACCTGTCTGGTATGGGGCCTAGAAATTTGGATTTTTAACAAGTACTACTGGTGGTTCTTCTGAGTGGTTCACTGGTGGTTCACTGAGTTTATCTGGGCAGTGGTACTACAGTACCAGAGGCTACCTACATGAAAGTCACATGAGAGAGGTGCTTATTAAAATGTAGACTCTTGGGCCCTGAAGACTAAAATCTCTAGGGATAGAAGGGTTGGGAGGAATGAAAAAAAGGAAAATGGTACCATACTAGGTGGTCCAAGACTTTACCCTTCATCTTTGACAGAGGTGTCCTAAGCTCTCCACTGGACAGCTCAGAGGCAAGTAGGCATCCTTTGCTGGATGAGGTATATTTAGGCAGCAGGCAGCCTGTGATAACAGCTTTCCTGGCTCTCAGTCCAGCCCTCCTGCCCTGTCCAGTGAAATGGCATTCAGTCCACTCAGATACTCTCTTTTTCCACCACTCCCATCAAGGCCCATCCTTCCCTCCCTTTCTCCCCACCTAGTCTTCTACAGTGTTTGGCTCCAAAACCCTGCACCTCTACTGCCTCCAGTTCAGATGTCTCTGAGCAAATCTTCTGGGCCAAGTATGAGAGGGAATTAGAGTCAAATCTATGTTTCACTCTTGGCAAGGATTTTTTATTCTTTTCTTTTTTTAAGAAACCAAGTCTCACTCTGTTGCCCAGGCTAGAGTGCAGTGGCAAAATCATAGCTCACAGCAACCTCAAACTCCTGGGCTCAAACGATCCTCCTGCCTCAGCCTTTTGAGTAGCTGGGACTACAGGCACATGCCACCATGCTTAACTAATATTTTTATTTTTTGTAGAGACAGAGCCTTGCTATGCCGCCCGGGCTGGTCTCAAACTCCTGGCCTCAAGCAATACTCCCACCTCAGCTTCCCAAAGTACTGGGATTATAGGCATGAGCCACCATGCCCCGCTAAGGCTTTTTTATTCTCAAGAACCTACTTTGGAAGTGCTTTTAAATACTGAGCCGTGTCAGGGAGGAAAAGCTTTTCTACTGCCCTCTTATATTCTCCCTTTGGGGGCCTGCAAATTGAAATGACAAAGACAGACAGCAAGAGAAAAAAAAACATCTAATTACATATGTACACACAAATGAAAATTCACCCATAAATGTGACTCAAGGTGGTCAGAATTTGTAGTTTATAGGGCATGAAGAGGCAGACGGGCACTTCTGGGAGAACATATGACTTCTTCAAAGGAGGGGAGAAGAAGGAAAAGCATTAAGGGAAAAACAAATGCCATTTTGGAAAAATACATGGGCTTTTAGGAGAATGGATGGAAGATATAATGGTTTTGTAACAATGTCTGGGTATGGTGCCACTTCTCTACAGAAGAGAATATTAGAGTTGCTCCCCTGGAAGAGATTTATAACAATTGAGTTCTTTGGAGAATCTTTGTTTTGGGGAAGGTAAGGGATTTCAAGAATTCAAATGCCTTCAGTTTAAAATAATTTTTATGCCATAGTAGCCACTGGACCCCTATAATTCTTAGTTCTCTTTGTAGTCTTGCTGTAACAACTGCAAGTCTCTGTGAGACACTGTAGATGCTTCTGAAAAGGGCAAGAATCTGCAAGTATGAAGAAAAAATGAGAAGATCAAAATTATATTTAATAATTTTGTGATGGCAAACATACTGAAAAGTTTATGAAACTGAAGTGTGTACTACTTAAGACTCTTAACACAAACATTCATGTAACCCCATCTGGGTGAAGTAGAATAGCAGTCTAATGTTTTTTTGTCACCAAGAACTGGTTTCATGGAAGACAATTTTTCCATGGATAGGGAGGGGCAGAGTTCAGGTGGTGATGCAAGCAATGAGGAGCGGCTGTAAATAGAGATGAAGCTTCACTCACTTGCTCACCGCTCACCTCCTGGTGTGCAGCCCAGTTCCTAACAGGCCACAGACCAGTATAGGTCCATGGGCCTGGGATTGGGGACCACAGAAGTAGAACATTACCAATACCCCAAAAGGCTCCAATGTGCCCCTTCCTTTATGGCCCCCATGTGCCTAGAGATGGCCACTATCATGATTATTATCATTCACTTCTTGCTTTTCTTTACATTTTACTGCCTAATTACTCAACCTGAAACAATATAGTTTAATTATGCCTGCTTTTTAGTTCTATGTAAATGGAATCATAGAGTAAGTTTTTTGTTTACATGTCTTGCATTTTTTTGTTCAACCTATGTCTTTAAGATGTACCCATGTTGGCCAGGCTCAGTGCCTCACACCTGTAATCCTAGCACTCTAGGAGACCCAGGCGGGAGGATCGCTCAAGGTCAGGAGTTTGAAACCAGCCTGAGCAAGAGCAAGACACTGTCTCTACTATAAATAGAAAGAAATTAATTGGCCAACTAAAAATATATAGAGAAAAAATTAGCTGGGCATGGTGGCACATGCTTGTAGTCCCAGCTACTCAGGAGGCTGAGGCGGAAGGATTACTTGAGCCCAGGAGTTGGAGGTTGCTGTGAGCTAGGCTGATGCCACAGAACTCTAGCTCAGGCAACAAAGTGAGACTCTGTCTCAAAAAAAAAAAGATTTACCCATGTTGATATGGCTGTAGTTTATTCATTTTATTGCTCTAGGTTACTATATTGCATGAATATACCATAATTTATCTACTTTACTATTGATGGATGGACATACAGGCTATTTCTATTACAGTTTTAGGCTATTATCAGCAATGCTTCTGTGAAAGTTTGTGTACATACACATTATATATATACATATATATGTATATATATATCTCCTAGAACACATAAACACATATTTCTTTGGAATTTTTATCTTGATGTGTAATTCCTGGTTTATAGGGCATGTATATCTCCAGATTTGTAAGATCACGCCAAGATTTTTCAAAATGATTGTACCAATTTATATAACCAAAAACAATATATAAAGTTTCTATTGTTCCATGTCCTCATCAATACTTGATATTGTCAGACATTTTAAATTTTATCAATCTAAGGGATATGTAAAGCCAATTGATTGTGGCTTTGTTTTGCATTTCCCTGATTTTCAATGAAGAATAATAGCACCTTTTCATAAGAGCATTGTCTCATTGTTCAGGTCTTTTCCCATTTTTCTGTTGTATTGTTTGTATTTGTCTTATTTATTTGTATTCATTAGATAATGTGGAAACTAGTCTTTATTGATTATATGTACTACAAATGTTTTTCCCACTTTGTGGCATGTCTTTTCACTCTCTTAATGATGTCTTTTGATGAAAAAAAATTGTTAATGGAGTCAAATTTATCACTTTTTTCCCTTATGGAAAGTGGTATCCATATCCTATTTAAGAAATCTTTGCCTACCCTAAAGTCATTAAGATTTTTATATTGTCTTCTAAAATTTTATTGCCTTGCTTTACAAATTTTATGCAAGGAAAAAGTGAAATTAATTTTCTTATATATGGAGAAAGGGAGGCATCTATAGTTCCCTATCCCCCACCATGTGGAAAATGAAACCAGCACTATTTACTGAAAGACAGTCCTTTTTCAAAAAATGGTACAGGGTTATCTTGGTCATAAGCCAGATAGTTATGTATGTGTGGATTTGTTTGTGACCTTGGTATTCTTTTCCATTGACCTCTTATTTTTTTTAATATATTGATGAATTTAATATGCTAATATTTTCTTTAAGATTTAGAGGGCTCTCATGAATGAGATTGGCCTATAATTTATCTTTCTGGTAATGTCTTTCTCTGAATTTGGTATCAAAGTTATTTTAGCTAGCCTCATAAAATGAGTTGATGAATATGCTTTCTTTTTTCTAGACAATTGTTATTACTTTAGCCCATTTGTTCTTCTTGTCTTTGGAATGAAGTCATCAAGAGTCCCCCAAAACCTCATTTGGATTTTTATTAAAATTTCTTTGTGTATATTAATTTCAGGGAAAATAAAATCTTTCCAAATGAGCTTTTCCTCTCTGGAATATGGTAACATTTGTTCAAGTGCCCATCCTCATATGTTCTCAAAAAAAATTTCTCATTTTCATTATATAGGTCTCCTTTCTCCATATATTAATAGTAGACAGAATTCTGAAGTCTTTCTAAAATTTCCACCCCTAGTCAGTAAAACACTAATCCAGGCACTGCTATGAAGGAAATTTACAGATGTAATTAAAGTTAAGGACCTTAAAATAGAGAGATTATCCTGGATAATCTGAGTGGGCCCAATCTAACCACTTGAGCCCTTGGAAAAAGAGAAATTTCTCCAGCTGGAGTCAGATGTGGCAGAGGAGAGAAGCTAAGAAAAGATGAGGCAGAAAGGGAGGTCAGAGAAATTCAAATCTTAAGAAAGACTGGACACATCATTGCTCACTTTGAAAGTAGAAGAAAAGGGCCTTGAGCCAAAGAATACAGGTAACCCCTAGAAGCTGAGAATGCTTTATGTTTGGCAGCTAGCAAGCAAATGGAGATATCAGTCTTACAATCTCATGGAATCAAATTCTGTCAACAACCTGAATGAGCCTGGAAACAGATTCTCCCTTAGAGCCTGCAGGAAGGAACACAGCTTGCTGATAGACTGTAGCCTTATGAAACCAGAGCAGAGAAGTAGTTGAGCCACTCTATGCCTGGATTTCTGACCTACAGAGCTGTGAGATAATAAATGGGTGTTATTTTAAGCTACGAAATTTATGGTGATGTGTTACAGCAGGAAAAGAAAACTAACACCCACCTTTCTTAGTAAGCAAAAATATTTTGGGGAGCTCACCAGGTAAGCCTTTACTCTAAACAGAATGATTCCAAAATGGTCACACTGCTCTATTCCTGTGACTGATATTTTCACCTGTTAGAGTTCAGACTGAAAATGCACATACTGTATTTATAAGGGAGGTGGCACTTGAAGGTGCTATCGGCTACATCCTGAAGGTGGGATTGGTAGACAAGACACTACTTGGAAGGAGAGGGACCGCAAATAGAGGCACAGCACCAAAAGCCAAGAGCATGGGATATAGCAGAATGAATAGTGTGGCTCTTCAGCCTCTGTTTGCTCATTTCAAATTTGGGCTTGTCTATCACATTCTCCTGAAGCAAATGTGTGCTAAATGTGGTTCCCGTGTTCTAATAAAAAAATGAGAAAATAAAGTCTAGACTTCTGTGAAATAGCTCAGAAAGTATCCAATGTATCTTGATATTGACATATATCAAGTCTAACATTAAAGATTTCTGTTATCATAAATTGTGCATAATTCCAGAGACCATTTGTGTCTGAAAGGCATGATTTACAATTAGAACACAAGGTATCCTGCCATGGAGACCTGTTTCAAAACTCCATGCAAACTCAATCTAGTTATTGAAAGAGAGAAACATTTCTTTCTTACAATTAAAAAAAAAAAAAAGAAACTTTGTCATTCTAGAAAAAAAAAATATATATATATATATACATAAGCTAAGCAGATTTTTAAAAATACATTCTTGGCTTGGTGCCCAGTAACTTCAAAAGGTGGCATTCTAATGCTTCCTATGTAATAAATGATATACGTGACAAATCTGGTGAAACTTGAGTCTTCTCCAGTGTGCATGTAACGCTTACACATAAAACAAGGAAGATGTAGCTTTAGCTAATTCATACTGAGATTTATTGTTAATAGGAGTCATAAGAGTGCAGAGTGTTTCACAAAGCATAAAATATGGAAGACAGGTTCCCTACCCTGAGGAGCTTAGTAAAACATGTGCAGGCAGTAGCTAACAGGAAAAATATTAAGTCATCATGATTTACAAAGTGGTCGCCAATGGAAGACTGGATACACGAAAGATGCCTTATAAAGAGAGAATAGGAAAATGTATGGAGTTTGAAAAAAGAACTTATTGCAAAAGCTTGAAGGAAGAATGAAAAAGAGATGACAGAACAAAGTTCTAAGAAATGATGAAAGAGGAGAAATTGGAGAAAAAATGGAGACAAAAATGGACAAAAGACTCAGGGTGCTGTGAGACATAAACCAATATATGAATTATACAATGTAAGATTGATTCATTTACCAAACTTCTAAACTTAGACAACTGGAAATTATATAACTCATTTCTTATAAAATTTAAGAGATGGTTTTCCCAAATAATAGACACTCTGCAAAATTTCTTGTTCAAGCCATATTCCATCTATAACATAGTAAATATAAATAAAATTTCATATAGATCTGTATACAGCTGAATTGTAAAGGACTTTAGAAGTTTAAGAATTTTTTGAGCTATAGTGTAAAAGGATCTTCACTTTAGAAGATATATTCAAAAGCAGTAGTTTTTTAAAATATATACATATGCTACAGAAAATTCTTGATGCTGTAGCAATGCTGAAATCAGACCCGCTATTTCCCTACAAAAGGAAAACCAACTTTCTGTACAGTGTATTCAGGGTCTGTGGCATCTCCAGGCTCCACCTCTGGAGATGGAAGCTCCACACAACAGCTTCACCAGACTTCTCTTTATTCCTTAAATAGGTCGCATGCAGGGAATTGTCTGTCCAAATAATTCGCCTATTTTAATTGGATTGTTTGTCTTAATTCGTTTTGAACATTCTTTACATAGTCTGAATATTAGTTCTTTTTCAGACATGTGACTTTCAGAT